CAGGGCTATCGAATGAGGTATAATTCGACCACTTTTGTGTCTGCTCCGTTTTTGCCTTTCCTGCACCTTACCAACCTCGACTATCAGTTGAACAAAAATATACGATCAGTTTTTATATTCAGAGCTAATTCCCAAAACGTTATTTTTTATCAGTTTATGAAACGTTAACAATATTAATTATTGTTTAAATGCTAGTACACTTCTCTAACTACATTCCGAGGAAAATAGGGTCAAGTATCAGTAGATAAATAAGACTAATTATTTTAATTTCAATAAATATTCATTATTTTTTCAACAAAAAAGAGGAACACTTTTGAAACAAACATACAATGAACACACAAAAAATATTTCAAAAGAAAAAAGGTTACTATCATTTGTAGAAATAATGTTTAAAATGTCAAAATAATTTGTACTACATGTACTATAAACATTATTCATTGAAAAATCATGACAAAGATTATGATTAAAATGATGATTGATTTTTAGTACATACAGATTTAATCCAAGTTATTTTTGAAAAAATGTTAGAAAAATTTTTATTCAACAACAACAGTCAAAAACATAAAAAATCCAATAAAATATTCTATTTTAACGATGATAGATAAATTTCTCTGAAAGATATCTTGAATTATTAATAAGAAACAGCTAAAGACATGATTGAACGTTAAGCAATGTGCTAAGTAATAAAAAAACGTAACATCATTTCATTGATGCTATGACTAGATATTGTGGTGCTATCGTTGCAGTTTTATACGATTTTTCTGACAATAGTCATTAATTAATTCTGTAGTGAACGGCGTATCTGTACCGGGTTTTTCTTTCGCGCTATCTGAATCTTCATGCATTGTTATAAGATAGACCAGCATGGACAATGTATGATACAAAACGTCGCCCGTTGTTGCTAAACGTTTTAACGAATCTGTGATAGATAATCCTTCGTTTAACAAACATTTATAATCGTCTAATAACGCTTGAAAAGTTTTACGCTAAAACAAATGAGAAAAACACAAATAATCGATTTGGTACAGTTTGAGAGCGATTTACAATGTGAGGAGAACTTGAGTTATTGACTAAAACTTTCGATCTGTTTCTTTTGTCCTTTCATTTCTAAAGATATACTCATCAAAAATTTCTGTAACTTACACATTTTGCTGCATATTCTAACAATAAATCATTATCATTATGAATCGTTTGAGTCGAATGATGTGTTAAACTTTCGAAATGTTTGATTGAAACAATCGCAGTTTTTACTGGTGACAAACTAAAAAAAGAAGAAAAGCANCTAGTCATAGCATCAATGAAATGATGTTACGTTTTTTTATTACTTAGCAGAGGTACTTAGTTTTGTATTAAGTTTTTCTAATGCTATTGATAGTAAATCATCAACATCATTGTCACAACTGCCATTATTGTTGAACGAAACATTCAGTGTTTGTTGAATTAATTTCATCGATTCATTTGGAGAATCTAAACAAACAATAATTTACTGTTTCAATGTCCATTATGACATTAAACATTTATGTAAAAAAATAGCTCTAATTTTATTTATCTGATCAAACGTTTGTGCGATGGGTAACACCGTCGATGGTATTACTGTGCATGTCATACCGTTTGACGATTTGTACTCTCAGATAATCAAATCAATATTTCGTGGTGGTGATTTACCTTGGAGTGGTGGTGGTAGTGGAGGAGGAGGAGGAGGCGTTTGATAAAGCACAGATGGCTGTTGGGTTGGAAGCAGATACGAATGTTCATATTGTGGCTGATATTGTACACTATTTTGTTGTTGTTGTTGTAAAAATGGAGGCAACCGAATATTTGACTGTTGAGAATAAGGATAAGAGGGATAGTGCTGATGGGGTTGACTCAAATAAGGATTTGGATTCATATTTCTATAACAATATGGTTGGTAACCGTACGGCACATGCGGAGGCTGGAAAGGCATACACATTGGCATTTGAAAAGATGGATGCTAAATCATAACAGAAAAACGATAGAAAATAGCGAGGAATTTAGAGAATTTAGAGGTTTACTTGTTGTTGATGATTCATGTTCGTATAATTCATTGTTTTCTGTTTATTGATCTAAAAACGAATTAAATGTAATCACTGAGAGTTACGTACTTGTGTGATTTCACTATTTTCTCACAGACAAATACGCATATTTTCTCTACAACAATTATTCAATAGATAGGCTTTCTCTCGAGCATAAATATCAATGCTAAAGACTAATTGAAATATGTGACTTTTCTAAAGTACAGAAAATTAAAAAGATAGATACTTCAGTCTAACAAATAGAATTAAATAGAAAGTATACCATACAAAGTGTACAAATAGGAGATAGGTTATCTGTAAAACAAACTATTAGTTTATGTTACTTTTTTTGCGATTAACTGAAAAAAAATGACATAAAAAATTCCCACAGTATGATCGTCCAATCTCAAGTTAAATTTGCTGTTACTACGCTTCTATCGACTAGAAAATACTTATAAAAAAATCAAAAAATTGGTTGATTCTATTCATGGAAAAGTCTTAAAATATGACATGAACAAAGTTTTCAAAAATCCTACTTCAAAAAAAAAAGATTTTCAAACTTATTGTTCTATAATAATGTAGATCTTTGGTTTAAAATGTTGAAAAACCTACTCTCTATTTCTTTCCATTCTCTTAAAATATTCAAACAGTAACTCCAAGTTGTTTAACATTCTTCTTAAAACAAACTTTTTATACGACTGGAGCTAATCCCTGTTACGATTTTATAGAAATTTAATTGGATGGAGCTCGAAGTTTTACTGAAACTATTTAAGATCATGTGTCAAACGTTGAATTGCTTTAATATTTTTGATCATGCCTTCTTAAGTTATGAAATTTTTAAATTTAGAAACATTGTTTTTTTCACAGTTTTAATAAACAGTTGACTGATTATCTATCAACAGTCATTAGTTAATACTGAGCTAAATAAGCAACCAAAGTGCAGATATACAGGGTGTTACATAACCTTTTTCTCCCCCCCTACACGACCTAAAGGACAGATAATATCAGAAAGTATTTATACCAGGTTAAAGCCCATCAAAAACTAGATTT